GAGGGGGAGGGGGTAGGGGGAGGGGGGGAGGAAGAAACTGGTAAGATGGCTTCCCAACTTATAGTTTAGTTGTTCTTTGAATGAATATTATTCACCAAAACAACTGTTTTTTAAAATGTTCATCCTGTCAGTGGTTTACTCTGGGACCTGTGACATTTAGCTTTTGGCAACACTTATGAAAAATGCCCAACTCTTTGGTCCAATGAACAGAAGTCTGCAGTAAGGAATCTACAAACAGTGGTGTAGAAATTCCCAGAAGCTGCTGTCTTGAGGGAGGAAATCCACATCTTATGTAATATTCCCCAGTTAAGCCAGTATCTTATTTTGTTTTTGTTGTTGTTTTCAAACACAGGGTTTTTCTGTGAAGCCTTAGCTGTCCTGGAACTCACTCTGTAGACCAGGCTGGCCTCAAACTCAGAGATCTGCCTGCCTCTGCCTCCCAAGTGCTGGGATTAAAGGCGTGCACCACCACTGCCTGGTCCCCAATATCTTAAGAGAAAAGAGAAGCCAGGCAGTGGTGGTGCATGCCTTTAGTCCCAGCACTCGGGAGGCAGAGGCAGGCAGATCTCTGTGAGTTCCAGACCAGCCTGGTCTACAAGAGCTAGTTCCAGGACAGCCTCCAAAGCCAAAGCCACAGAGAAACCCTGTCTCGAAAAACCAAAAAAAAAAAAAAAAAAAAAAAAGGAGAGAGAAAAGAGAAATGACACAAGGTTGGCTCAAACATCCATTCCTGTTTTAAGCTTCTTTAAGAAAAAGAATAATTTGGTCAGTATGAGAGATGTTTGCCCAACAGAAATCAGCTTTATTTGGTGTTCTTGTTTGTATAAAGCTTACACTGAGATCCCATAAAAAAGTTGTGAAGTAAATGTATGGTCAGCCTCAATGACTGGCACAGATAACTGTCAGTTACAGAGCAGTGGGGACCCAGAGCACCACAGACCAAGAGACACTGTTATATACAAACTCACTTTTACTATATTAAAAAAAAATCAGGGATTGGGGAAATTGCTCCATGGGGAAGAATACTTGTGGGGCCAACATGACCACCAGAGTTCAAATTCCCAACACCCACACAAGGAAGCCAGGCATGGCAGCAACTCCAGTGCTGGGGGAACAGAGACAGGAGTGTAACTGGGCTTGTCATCACCAGCCAAGCTCTAAGATCAGTGAGAGACCCTATCTCAAGGGAATAAGGTAAAATGATACAGAGCAGGCTCAGATTAGCCATTTGGACAAGAAACTGCTATTGTCTGGACTGTTTGTTGCTGTATAAACTGGACATGCAGGACCCACAAGAAAGTGACTGCTGAACTTACAAAACAAGACAGTCCTGAAAGGTTCTGTTGAAATGGAGAAGTGTGCCAGACACACTGTGGCCTATGGACTGAAGATGGATGCCCCAACGTTACAGAGGAACTTTGGGTGACTGTCCAGGTAGCAAGATGTCTCTGTCAATTCTAGAGTTTATATTATCCTTCTGTGGTCTTTGATAGAGTTGAAGACAGATAGTTATGGTTGTAGTTTTCTTCAGTTATTATAAAAGATAAGTTATCCTTCTTTTTATTTAGACAGAAAAGAGGAGATGATGGGGAATGTACCTCTGTGTATGTTCATCTTATTGATTGTTAAATAAAGTACTGTTTGGCCAATGAGGCAGCAAGTTAGATGGGACTAGGAGTCAAAGAGGATTCTGGGAAATGCAGTAAAGAAATGATGATCCAGGCAGGAAATGACATAGCAGGGAGACTCATATTTAAGGAAGGACAAGCAGGAAGTGGTCCCTTTTCCCCCTTCGCTCTTCCTTCAGATTTGAGATGTGATCCACCAGCAAGGGAGGGCACCAATGGAAGGCGTCTGATAAGATAAGTCTTATAAAATATATAGATTTATGATAATTAAGACTGAGCTAACAGATGAGAATCCTAGTCATTGGCCAAGCAGCATTTGTACCTAATATAAGTCTCTGTGCATTAATTGGGGCCCTGACTCGGTGGTAGGGCTCAGGCGGCTTTTGGCGGAAAGATGTATTGTAACACCTCTGGTCTCCACATGCACACTCAGAAGCAGGTCTCTGCACACACACATGCATAGACAGCACACACATATACCCCATTCACACTGCACACACACATAGACAGCACACACATATACCCCATTCACACTGCACATACACATGAATAGACATATCTACACACACAATAAAGAGACAAATAAAATTCTTCATCTGTGGACATAGCTCAGTGGTAAAACTCTTCCTTGGTATATGTGATGCCCTGTGTTCAACACCCCCAAGAATTCAAAAATAGTTACAGTGTACATCTTGTGATCCCAGCACAAGGGAGGCAGATCTTTGTAAGTTCGAAGCTAGCCTGTCTACAAAGGAACCTCTAGGCCAGCCAAAGCTGCATAGTGAATCTACCTAAAAGAAACAAACAAAATAAAAAATAAGTATAATAGGGGCTGGAGAGAGGGCTCAGGGGTTAAGAGCACTGACTGCTGCTCTTCCAGAGGTTCTGAGTTCAATTCCCAGCAACCACATGGTGGCTCACAACCATCTATAATGTGATCTGGTGCCCTCTTCTGGCACGCACTGTATACATGATAAATAAATAAATAAATCTTAAAGAAAAATAAGTATAATAAAACATTTTCTCTGGTTGGTGGTGGTGCATACCTTTAATCCCAGCACTCAGGAAGCAGAGGCAGGCAGATCTCTGAGTCAGAGGCCAGCCTGGTCTACAGAGTAGGACAGTCCATATGACACAGAGAAACTCTCTCTCAAAATAAACAAATAAATAGTTAATTAAATAATTAATTAAAATATTTTCTTAGCAGCTTCCCTGGGTCACAAATAAACTTTATAGCAATCTAATCTGGATTTACAGCAATTACAAATAAAGATGTCAACTGGGCATTGCCATGCATGCCCTTAATCCCAGCACTTGAGAGGCAGAAGCAGGCAAATATCAGAGTTCAAGGCCAACCTGGTCTACAAAGTGAGTTCCAAGACAGCTAGGGCTACACAGAGAAACCCTGTCTTGGAAAAAGAAAGGAAGGAAAGAAGGAAGGGAGGAAGGAATGGAAGGGAAAGAGGGAGGGAGGGAGGGAGGGAGGGAGGGAAAAAGAAGAAGGTATGTATGTATTCCTTTCTTTGAGTGGTCATTATACAAACTTTACCTTTACCCATTGTATACCAGTTAACACAGGATTAACTATTGTATGTCAGTTAACGACTGCTGTTTTCTTTTGAATCAGGAGAAAAAGATGAACAAATAAAAAATAGATTTCATTGTCTTTTCTATTTTAATAAGAGCTGCCCACTACTGGCTGTGTGATTCTTCACATAGATTCAAGTTTGTCTGTTTCAGCTGAGACAGGGTCTCATTAAAAAAAAAAAAAAGTAAGCTGACCTCAGACTTGCTATAGACCAGTCTGGCCACTACACTTGACTTTCTGTGTAGGAATTCAAGTTTCTGTCTAGAATCCTTTCATTTAAAAAAAAAATCACATTTTACTTATTTACTTTTTTTTGGTTTTTTGAAACAGGGTTTCTCTGTGTATCTTTGGAGCCTGTCCTGGCGCTCACTCTGGAGACCAGGCTGCCCCCAAACTCACAGAGATCCGCCCACTTCTGCCTCCCAAGTGCTGGGACTAAAGGCGTGCGTCACCAACGCCCGGCTCACACTTTATTTATTTGGGGAAGAGGCACTTGCACATGCCACAGTGCACATGTGGAGGTCAGAGGGCAACTGGAAGGGGTTGACTCTCTCCTTCCACTCTAGGGAGAAGCTCAGGTTGTCACCTTGGCAGCAGGTGGGTTTCCATGTTAACCCATTTCACCAACCCTGTTAGGTTTTGTTTGTTTTGTTTTTTAACTTAGCTTTTTTGTTTTTGAGAATTTTATACATAATACCATATTTACATCATCCCACCCTTCCCTCTTCCCTCTCCAACTCCTGTGAGTCCCCTCCACAATCCCTCTTGATTTCTTTCATTATTATTTTCACATGGAAATGAGAGGATAGAGCAGATGCCATAACAAGCTGCTTCTCTCTCAGAGATCAGGCCCCAATTTCAGTTTCCTGAGACTGAACAAGCAGTTTCTGAGAGAGCCATGAACGAAGAGTAATCAATCACTGGTGCCCCTAACAACAGGGACAAGGGAGATAGGATGCGCCAAGCCGGCCACTGAGCCAGCCCCCACAGTCGGTATGTACTAGGCCAGACAGACTCCACTGCAGCTGGACTTGTCCAGGCCTGCCCAAAGATGGAAAACTGTAGCCCTGACCAGCCCCTGACTAGCCCTGGCCAGTTAGAATGCAGTAATATGACTGCCACTTGTTTGAGCCAATCATTTCTAAAATGACCTAACTGCCCTAGGAACTCCCCTTCTGTTGTGCTTAAAAGGAGCCTATGAGCCTATGAACTCCCAGGGTCTTCCCCATTTTCCTTTGTGTGGGATGGCAGGCCCCAACATGCTGGAATTAAAATGCTCTTGCCTATTGTATATATGGATGGTGGTCTTTTGTGTGGGACTCCTCCAGGACCCTAATAGTAAACACGTACACCCTACTGAGTTCATTTATGCTTGCTTATGTGTACTTGAGCTTAGGGCTGACCATCTGAGGTGGGAAACCTAAGACAGGGACTTCTTCCTGGAGAAAACTGATCCTCATCCTCTCAGAAGTCACTGGCTGTGGCTCATCATCTAGGGTGGGGCCTTGTGAGATCCCCCAACCCCACCCCTCTGCCACCCTGCTGCCCATGTTAGCATGGTGTGGTCATTATGCAGGTACTGTTTCCCAGTGATATGGTTGCCTGAACAAGACCAGTTGGGAGGTTTGGATCACAGATTTAACTTCTGTATTTGGAGGTCTGCTGAGTTGTTTTATTTTTTTCATCACTCAGTTTAGATAATTGTGTTTCTGTGAAATTTTCAGTGTCATCTAGGTTATCTAATTCATTGATATAAATGTTCATAGTATGTTCTTCTTTAAGATCATTGTGTTTTAATTGTGTATGTATGTGTTTGTGCATGTTCGAGTATGCATGTGCACATACACACACAAGCATGACACATGTTAGTACAGGTCCTATGGAAGCCAGAAGAGGTCATTGGATCCCCTGGAGCTAGACAGAATGTAGGCTGGGCCCAAACTCACCCTCTTCTGACTTCCATAGGTACACAGATATACATGCAGGCAACACACACATAAAACAAAATAAAGTAAATACATTATGTATAATATATATTAATTCGGGCTGGAGAGATGGCTCAGAGGTTAAGAGCACTGGCTGCCCTTCCAGAGGACCCGAGTTCAATTCCCAGCAACCACATGGTGGCTCACAACCATCTGTAATGAGATCTGGTGCCCCTTTCTGGTGTGCAAGCATGCATGCAGATAACTGTATACATAATAAAAAAATAAAATCTTAAAGTATATATATATATATATATATATATATATATATTAATTCACTGTCAGTAACAGAGTATTTCTTTCTTGACTTTGCCTAACACTACCAAGAAAGAGTTTCTCATGGTTTATGGCATATAACAGAACAAAAATAATCATAATATAATTTTCTTCCAGGTATGAAGAAAGAACCATAATTAAAATGCATGATGGAGAATGTGTAAGTAAAGTCACTTTTCTTTTTTCATTTTTTAAAGTAAATCACATACATTTAACAGCTCATTGCCAAGAATTTAAGTGGGAGTTGTATATGTGCTTGTGGTTTATGCATGAGTATTTGGATATATGTACACACACACAAACAGGCTGCCAGGTATCTTTTTTGTGTGACTTTTTACTTGCTCTTTGCCCTGTTGCCCTGAGACAGGATATCTCCCTCTCAGGATCCACCTGCCTCAATTCTATTCCCCAATGCTATTTACAGGGAGGAACTCACAGCCATGCCCAGGTTTTTACTCTGTCCTGGGAATTCAAACTCAAGTCCTCACATTTGTGCAGCATTTTCTCTTAATCTCTCAGACATTTCACTAGCCTGTTATCGAGGATTTGTAACAGTTTGTTAAGAATATTGTCAAAATGCATAAAGGGAGAGACAGTGGTAAAATGAATCCCATACAACTGTCATACAGATTGAAAAAAAAAAAGAGAATTTTGGCATATGTCTTTCCTCTATTTCTCTCTGTGTTTGATGAAGTATATTACACAGACTTGGAGATATCCTTCACCCCAACATTCTTCAGAGTTCACTGCTAAGTTTAGACATTTCTTTACACACCTCCATTGCCATTACAACATCTAATTAGTTCCTTGGCATCTTCTAAGGCATCTTCCAACTTTCCCAATCATCTAAAATTTAAGAACTAGCCAATCCAATGTCAGAGCGAGCCTAGAAACTCAGAGATGCTGTGCATGGAGGGAAGGAGAGGGAAGGAGGGGAAGCAGGGGAGGAGAGACAGGCATTCTTAGACTAAAGACAGAGAAAACCCAGCACACTGCCTATAGAGATGCCCTAAGACACAGAGAAACAGAGAATAAGTATAGTTAACCAAGCCTAAAATTCAATGATAAACTAAAAGAAATCAGAACCTACAAGCTTGATATGACCAAATAGAAGATTCTGGGGTCTTACCCTTGAGGTTAGAGACAGGTCAAACAAGTTGCAGGATTACTGTCCATACACATCTCAAGACTCAGCAGGGACTTCTGGGCATCTAGCACACTGCAATCTGCAAGGTGAAGTAATACTGCCTTTAAAGTCTGAAAGCTGTCTGCTACCAGCAGTCATTCTTGTTCAGCATGAGGGAGGACTGGCCCTTGTGTCAAATTCAAGCTTTCAACTTGAATATTAAAAATAGAGCTGAGCCAAAGTGGTGTATACCTGTTATCTCAGCAGTTGGAGATAGAGGCAGAAGGATCAGAAATTCAAGGTCATCCTTAGCTATATAAGTTTGAAGCCAACCTGGGCTATATGAAACGTTGTCTCAAAAAGAAAATAAACAAATAAAAATAAAAACAACAATGAAAAGAAAAAGGGCCAGACCGGTGGTTAAGAAGACTACTTGTTCTTCCAGAAGCCCTATTTAATTTCCAGGACCTACCTGGTGGCTCACAACCATCTATAACTCAGCTCCAGGAGATCCAGTGCCCTTTTCTGACCTCCACAGGCACAAAACGGTGCACAGATATACACACACAAGCAAAACACTCAGATGCATCAAAACAAACAAACAAGCAAAAAAGCTGAGTGTCTTGACACATACCTTTCATCCCAACACAGGGGAGGAGTTCTGTGAATTTGAGGCCAGACAGTTCCAGGCCAGCCAGGGCTTCGTAAAGAGACCCTGGCCTTTAATCCCAGCACTTGCAAGGCAGAGGCAGGCCAACCTGGTCTACAAAATGAGTTCCAGGACAGCCAGAGTTACACAATGAAACACTGTCTCCAAAACTAAAAGACAACAACAACAACAACAAAAAAAAACTATCTGACTTAAGAGAGAAACAATCCATTCTCTTGAATTATGAGTTAAACATTAAGACTATGATAGTTTTCTCTAAACTGTGTTAGACAATATTTTATTTCCATGATTATTCCAACTGATGACAGATCACTGATAAATGAAGAACACTGTGGATGAATTAGCAGACAGCTGGCAGAACCTGAAGGGATATTTTATCATTTCAACATCCCATATCTCAGGTGAAAAACAAGAATATGCCTCTTTATTTATTTATCCATTTTTTTCTCTTTTTCCTTTTTTTTGTTTTTTTGGGGGGACTTTTGTTTGTTTTTGGTTTTGAGACAGGGTCTCACTATGTAGCCCTGGCTATCCTGGAACTCTCTATGTAGACGAGGCTGAATTTGAACTCACAGCGATCTAGCTGCCTTCAGGGTGCCCGAATTAAAGCCATGGACTACAACACCCAGCTTATATATGTTCTTAATATTCAGGGAAAAGTTACAAAAGAAATAGGCAAAGACTGATTTACAGAAGAAAGAGAAAAGCCAAATCTGAAATGCTCACATTTGGGAGGCTAACCAGGAAGATTGCAGATTTGAGATCAGCCTTGCCTCCACTGTAAGACCCTGTTTCTAAAACAAAAATCAGAGACAGAGAATGTGCAGTTGGGCTTGCTCATGAGCTATTTGACACATAAAGCCTGCACAGATGCTCTGGAATAACTACACAAATTCAAACTGAAATAATATGAGATGCCAATTTACTGGGAAAAGTCAGGAAGTGGGGAAGTACCCTGTGCTGGTGGAGACTAAATATTGATTCTCTCAATCTCTGGGAACAATGAGGACTTAAAAGTCACTGAGAACAATCTCACATGTTTTAGAAAATGTAACAAATTATGTAATATGTATACTACAGACCAGCATTTCCAAACATAGAAAATGACAAAGAAATTTTCTCATAGCTTTGCAAAGTGACATAGAAGTTTATGGCAATGTTTATCATGGTGTGAAGCAAAAGGAAATGGATGGATGGATGGATGGATGGATGGATGGATGGATGGATGGATGGATGGATGGCAGTTCCTCCCCAGAGACTTGCACAACAGGAGGAAGGCTGGTCCTTACAGCTAACCCCAGCCCTTCTTCCTGACTAGTGTCACACCCTTGATTTAGTTAGCTCCTCCCTCACCCCCTCACAGGAGCTTTCAAGGCACAGCCCTTAGCTACATCTCACAGGCAAATCAGCAGGGGTCTGGAGAGGCCGTATGATTTGCTTCAAACCCTCTGAGCTGAGAACCGATAGGGCTGTGTTGAGAATATGGGGATAGGTCTCCCATTCTGCTCTTCATACAGCCCAAGGTCTAACCCCCGTATGTCTCTCCCTCTACCTCCCATCTGCTCTGGAGTGGAGCTCCAGAATCACACAGGCACCCACACCCTTTGTTCTCTTCTCTGCCCTCTTCTACTCCGACTTCTTTTCATCCTTCAATGAAATCAGAATGTCTCTAGCCAGCCTCAGTTCAGGGGTCAGGCTCAAAACAAACTTAAGCTGGGTCGGATGAAACAGATCTGCAACCCCAGCTACATGGGAGACTGGTTCAGAATTGCAAATTCAATGCAAATTGCAAACTCAACAACAAAAATGCTTGAGAAGTATATTCCCATTTAATGAACAACAGCATACTGTGGGTATGTACGGTTAACAATGCAGTAACTTTTCTCTTAATTTCACTCACTTCAATTTCTCTAAGCAAATATTTCTCTTACAGATTTACTCCTTGGAAGACAATGAACAAACATAAAAGTTACTGGATCCTCAGCCAAGTAAAGCATGAAGGCTGAGTCTTCAAAGATACCCAATACTCTGGGGGACAGGGGCTGGAGTTCCTGGTACTGTACTTGCCTAGCATGTATGAAGCCTTAGGTTAAATCTCCAATGTCTGGAGGAAAAAAAAAAAAAAGGATATAGCTCCTTGAGAAATGCATCCTATAGTAGAAGATATACTTGAATTAGATTCATTGATTTACTTCTTCAATAAATTATTCTCAGCATAAGTTTGGTTGGTAAACATTTTCTCAGTTAATAAGAACCTTTTCTTGCTGGGCAGTGGTGGAGCACGCCTTTGATCCCAGACACAGGTGGATCTCTGTGAGTTCTAGGCCAGCCTAGTCTACAGAGTGAGTTCTGGGACAGCCAAGGCTACACAGAGAAACCCTGTCTTGAAAAGCAAAACAAACAAAAAAATCAGATATTCTGTGTTCTCATCCCTCCATATTTTCTCACAAATTATGATAAAAAACCCCAATGAAATGCAAAATAAGGGAATAAATATCTCAGTAGCAGCAATATGTACAAGCTGAGGGGCTTTGGTCATATTAAGTTGGGTATGTGTCCTGTTAACCATGTAACTATCAGCATGTCTCTTAACAACTACACCATAAAAGGGATTCACATTTTCTTTAAGTATGTATAGGAATGTTTTCCCTACATGTATGTCTGTGTACCACAAGCATATGTGATGCTATTGTATCAGAAGAGGGTGTCAAATTCCTGGAAGTGGAGCCACCACGTGGATGCTAGGAATCAAACCCTGGTCTGCTCTAAGAGCAGCAAGTACTCTTAACTGCTGAATCACTTCTCCAGTTCCCAAGATTTATTTTTAAATTATGTGAATGTGTCTAGATATGTATATGTACAGGTGCCCACAAGAGCCATAGGCATTAGAGCTTGAGTCACAGGTGGCTGAGCTACCTGACTTGGATCCTCTGCAAGAGCAGCACATGCCCTTAACCACTGAACTGTCCCCAGCTTGGAATTCAGGGTTTTGTTGAAAGAAAATTTGTTGAGTATGAAATTAGAGTGATTCTGGTGATAGTAATGTTTCTAAATACTTCCCAGTAAGGCATCTGAGACTCAAACTTCAGCCAGATCGGATGGAGCAGATCTGCAACCCCAGCTACATGGGAAACTGAAGGCAAATTGTAAATTCAACAACAAAAATGCTTGAGAAGTATATTCTCATTTAATAAATGGCAACAACAACATAAAGAGCTTGCAGGTTGCTAAGGGAGGAAAAAGTCATCAGCTGTCTTATGAGGCTCTGAACCTTGTGAACTATCATCAAGACTAGCATGGCAATGGTGACACGGCAGACGGGGGGTTACCATCTGCTTTCTGACTGTATTGAAGGCCTGCTTCCCAAGGGGAAACACGAGTCTGGTGCTGCAAATCTGGCCAAGGGAGCACAAATATTATAAGAGCCAGTGGACCAGGATGCCTTTGGCAAGATGGTGTCTTCTAGCCATGGCAGGGAAGCTGTACCCATGAAATCTCAACAATATGGTTTCCTAAACAAGACCTGCATAATGACACCACCAGTTGTCATGCCAACACAGATGAAAGAAATTTCTTAAGTCCCCACCCCTAGATTAAGAGCTACAGGCAATGAATGCCAGCTGAGAATCAGTTTCCTCCAGGCACAAGCTCGCTGACAGCTTATGTCATCTCAAGTGTTCAGCCCTGTGTACATATGAGCAGTCAGTTTATAGGCAGTTGTGAGCTGCCATGTGGGCAATGGGAACCGAGCCCAGGTCCTCCGCAAGAGCAGCAAGTACTCATAACCAGTGAGCCATCTCTCCAGCCCCTAGGGTTTTATTATTATTATTATTATTATATTTGTTTTTGTGTGCACTTACATACCACAGCACACATGTGGAGGTCAGAGGACAACCTAGGGGTGAGGGGTGATTCTCTCCTTACTCCACATGCATCTTGGGGATTGTACTCCAGTCATCCAGCTTGGCGGCAAATGCTTTTATCTACTGAGTCATCTGCTAGCCCATCATTAACTAATCTCTTCTTCTTTTTTTTTTCTTTTTGGTTTTTCGAGACAGGGTTTCTCTGTGGCTTTGGAGGCTGTCCTGGAACTAGCTGTCTGGTCTCAAACTCACAGAGATCCGCCTGCCTCTGCCTCCTGAGTGCTGGGAGTAAAAGTGTGCACCATCACTGCCCGCTAACTAACTTCTTAATAGGTGATTTTTCCCAACTGAGTTTAGACTCACAAAATGAAGCCTGAAAAGCTGCCATGGAACTTCCTGAGTCCCAATAGAATTGAATCAAAATTTTCACAGTACTTTTACCATTTCATAATTATTATCAGATCTATTGGGTCTTGGCAACATTAAGAACTGAAAAATAGCCGGGCGTTGGTGGCGCACGCCTTTAGTCCCACCACTCAGGAGGCAGAGGCAGGTGGATCTCTGTGAGTTTGAGACCAGCCTGGTCTACAAGAGCGAGTTCCAGGACAGCCTCCAAAGCCACAGAGAAACCCTGTCTCGAAAAAAAACAAAAAACAAAACAAACAAACAAAAAACTGCTAAAGAGATGGCTCAGTGATTAAGAGCACTGACTGCTCTTCCAGAGGACCTGAGTTCAATTCCCAACACCCACATGGCAGCTCACAACTTAACTCCAAGATCTGACAACCTCACTGACATGCATGCAGGCAAAATACCAATGTACATAATAAAAATAAATAAGCTTAAAAAATTGAAAACTAAGACAAATTTTGCCTGGAAGCCAGAAGAATCTGTACATTGGAGTGTTTTCTAGATCTGTGGGTGTAAAACAATGTTCTGATATCTTCCATTTTTGTTACTGACACAAATGTTTTTTTGTTTTGTTTTGTTTTTTCCGAGACAGGGTTTCTCTGTGTAGCTTTGGAGCCTATCCTGGCACTCGCTCTGGAGACCAGGCTGGCCTTGAACTCACAGAGATCCACCTGCCTCTGCCTCCTGAGTGCTAGGACTAAAGGCGTGCGCCACCAACGCCCGGCTCACATCTCACATATGCTTATTATTATTGCTGTGTTCCAAGTGAAGCTCCTAAGCCTTGGTATTGAAGTAACAGAGTTAGAAGGCAGGCATATCTGGTTCCCACATTAAGATACAGTATAACAGCTCCTTAGATTATCAAGAGACCTAATAATTTGACCTCCACCTACCTGTCACTCCTTTTTGTCGGTTCTTTTTCGTTTTTTTTAAATTTATTTACTTTTATTTTATGTGCACTGGTGTTTTATCTGCATGTATGTCTGTGAAAGGTTGCCAGTTCCCCTGAAACTGGAGTTACAGACAAATGTGAGCTGCCAGGTGGGTGCTGGGAATTGAATCTGGGTCCTTTGAAAGAGCAGTCAGTGCTCTTAATCACTGAGCCATCTCTCCAGCCCTTGTTTTTATTTTTCAAGTCGGGGTCTCCCTACAGAGCCCTAGATGTCCTGGAATTCACTATGTGAATCAGGCTGGCCTTGAACTCATAGAGATCTGACTGCCTCTGCCTCCTGAGTACTGGGATCAAGGGTATGCACCACCACTGACCCTGGCTTCTTTGTTGGTCCCTAACACCAGTTCTGAATAAACCACTTCATCCTGCTAAACTATATTTGCCCTTACTTCTATTACGCTGGTTTATTGTCGAGAACGGTCAAAACAACAATCTCCCACTATGAGTTTGTCTTATGTGCATAAAGAAGCCACACAGGCTGAAGAAAAACTGAGTTAGGACAATTGTTTTAAAGCTAGTGAAGTCTCATATTCCAGAGGAATGTTAACAAGGATGAACAACAAAAGGAGAACTGGGCCTGGTCCATCTGGGAAGTAAGACTAAAGCAATGACTGACTAGTGGCTAATGGTAAGGTTAATTTCATCTTGTGAAAGCAGAAATGGACTCATGCCTTCACCAGACAGACAGACAACAGACTATAAGACTGGAGAGATGGTTCAGTGTTTAAGAGCACTCACAGATCTAGCAGAGGAGTTGGGTTCAATACACTGCACCCACACAGTGGCTCAAAAACATCTGTAACTCCAGTCCAAATTGGTTGATGGCTTCTTCTGCCTCTACTGGTAACAGGCACACACATGCTGCACAGACATATATACAGACAAAGATACCATACACATAAAATAAATAAATGGATTTTCATGCTGGAGGGATGGCTCAGCAGTTAAGAGCACTGGCTGCTCTTCCTGAGAACCTGGGTTATATTCCCAATATGGAAATGTAAGCTCACAACCATCTTTAAATCCAGTTCCAATGGATCCAGCACCCTCTCCAGGCTCCTTAGGCACCAGACATGCATGTGGGGTAACATTAAAAAAAATTAAATAAAGAAATAGGCCAGGCGGTGGTGCACACTCCTTTAATCCCAGCACTTGGAAAGCAGAGACAGGTGGATCTCTGTGAGTTCAAGGCCACCTTGGTCTACAGAACCAGTGAGTTCCAGGACAGCCAGGGCTACACAAACAAATAAACGGAGTTTGAGGCCAGCCTGGTCTTCAGAGACAGTTCCAGGAGAGCCGGGCTACACAGAGAAACAGTGTCTCAAAAAAAGAAAGAAAGAAAGAAAGAAAGAAAGAAAGAAAGAAAGAAAGAAAGAAAGAAAGAAATGGACTTTTCTCAGGAAGACACCTTGTGTAAACTAGCGGTCAGCACTGCAGCTCCTCCTTCCAGCATTCCAGGAGTGCGATGTCTGAGCATCCAAGTCCTGAAGTCAAATAAGCAAACTTGAACAGATTATTGTTTCTTCTCAGTCTCAGTCACACACGAGCGAGCGCGCTCGCCACTCAACTTTACCGCGCTACACGGTAGGAAACACAGACACACACGTACACACAGACACACACGTACACACAGACACACGTCACACACACACACACGTCACACACACACAAGTCACACACACACACAGAGACACACACGTCACACACACACACACGTCACACACACAGAGAGACACACACGTACACACAGACACACACACACACTCACACACAGAGAGAGACACACGTACACACAGACACACGTCACACACAGAGAGAGACACACACGTACACACAGACACACACACACACACACACACACAGAGACACACACGTACACACACACACACTCACACACACACTTTACTGCCGCTAGACAGCAGGACCCGAGGAGGGCTGCCCAGCACCGTGCCTGAAGGACCCCAAAGGACCCCGCAGGCTAACTAGCTCAGTGCCTGCTGGCCTAGGGCGTTGCCGGGAGGACCAGGTGAACCCAGAGCCCAGGCCCGCACTGGAGCCGGGATAGCTGAGGTTCGGGTGGGCTTTGGCCCGGAGTAAAGAAGCCCAGATCGTACGGCTCGAAGCGTAGAATGGGGCAGTAGGCGGATCGGGACTCAAGCCGGGGCGTGGCTACAGAAGCGGGGCAGAAGTAGCGTTGAGGGACCAGCAAGTACGTGGCCAGCGTGGGAGTCAAAGAGATGGCCTCAGCTGGCGCGGCGACGTGTAAAACTAGTAACTGGCTGATAGGCTGACCTTTAAGTCAAGCCAGCTTCTTCCTTCCTTCCTTCCTTTCTTTCTTTCTTTCTTTCTTTCTTTCTTTCTTTCTTTCTTTCTTTCTTTCGATCCTTTGGTTTTTCGAGACAGGGTTTCTCAGTGCAACAGCTCCAGCTATCCTGCAACTCGCTTTATAGACCAGGCTGGCCTCGAACTCACAGAGTTCCCCCTGCCTTTCATTACATGACAGCATTTTCTTGTAAACCAATAGCCAGGGGAGCCCTAACCAATTGGCATTTGTAAAGGAACCACACCCCCTCTACAGGTTGCCTGTCCTCCCTTGGAAACCTCTTAACTGCCTGCTTGAAATGGCTGGATCAAGCCCATGCACTGATTTACCCTGCTAAGTACTGTGGAAAGCCAGGTACGTAGTAGGCACCCTGTGTAGAAACTAAGGTGAGGATGGTGAGTGAAACAGGCTCCTGCTTTCGTGAGGCTGGGCTTTAGTGGAGAAGATGTAGCTGAAGGAAGCATTTGAGCCCTGAGAAAGTCTGACTTTGCAAACAGGCAAGTCGGAGATAACGGAGGCGGGGAGGGGGGAGGGATGCACACGAGGGATGTGGACACTTCCTTACACAAAGCTTGTCAGGCCAGAAAGGGGTGGGACTGAAAATGCCTATTGAACCGGAGCAAAAGAGTTAAGGGTGATGGGGCTCCAGATGAAGCCAGAGAAGTTAAAGTCTTCTGCGATCAGAAGACCCAGGGACCAGAGCAGGTTAAAGGCTGGGAGACTATGCCTAGGGTCCAGGTCTTCAAAAATCAGAATACCCTGTAGAGGGCCAAGGAGGGGACTGTATAATTAGCTTTTGTTGCTGTGGCTGCTGTGGAACAGATTTAGAGAGGCAAGAGTGAAAGCCTACACACCATTGAGGAGGGTGTCACAGAAGTCTGGGACTATGGCAGTCCCCGGTCATGACAGTTACAAGGAGGAGATTTGTGTGGACTTTGAGATGTATTGTATAGGTAAGGTTTTTAGAACCTGGTAATAGTGTGAAGGTGGGGAGTTAGGAACTGGAGGTCTCAAGGACATCCCCATGTATAGTTGGCCATGACGCCATGTTATCATCTAGAATATTATTAGGTGAAGTGAGTATGTTGACCCTGTACTGGTTAGATTGGGCTTGGCTACAATGGAGCTTCCAGTAATAAGCTGTAAAGAAGACACGATCAGAAAAGACCTTAGCATAGATTTTTGTTTGTTTGTTTGTTTCAGCCATCCCCTGGCACTACTACCATGATTGACTAAGCTATATTCTGGCTAAAAATAAAGAGAATGTTGACCGGTTCTGCCCTGCTCATGTCCCTGGACACCTCTGTATTTGTTAACAGTTAGAGATGATATTTTGAGGCCATGGTTGGTTTGGTATGGCTTGGTTAAGGTCTGGTTGTATAGTCCAGGCTGTATAGTCAGCCTCTAAGTGCTAGAATTACACCCAGCTTACATTTTTCCTCCTGCAAAAGTAAATTCTCACATGTAAGTAGAATCTCACAGTTGGAAGTGACCTCTGATGTTTAACCAGGCCTAGAAATATTGTCTGTACATTATTTCCACAATTATGTATTGAATTCTCTTAAGTAATATTGAACACTGGGAATAGAAAGGAGAATAGAGATAAGGCTATCTTGTTAGTTCATTTGATCAATGACATTGTCTAAGCCTCTTTGTGCCACATACTATTCAAGCGGCTTCACATACAAAGAGGTTCAACCAGGCAATGACCTTGCAGTTGTATAAATCTGGTGACTGAAGACAGCTGGGTATATTATCAGATGTGATGGGCAGGGGAGACTATCCATAATATTAGATAAGAATAATAAGAGATGGTGTGTGGCGTTGAAGCCTTTTTATTATCCAATGGCACTTTTTTTTTTTCTTTTTTTGTCGTCAATCAATCTTTCAGTTCTACAGTGGGTGAAAAAAAACTATGGGGCCAGGTGTTGGTGGCACACTCCTTTAATCCCAGTGCTGGGAGGCAGAGGCAGGCAGATCTCTGTGAGTATGAGGCCAACCTTGTCTACAGTTCAAGTTCCAGGACAGCCCCCGAAAGGTACAGAGAAACCCTGTCTCGAAAAAACAAAAACAAACAAACAAACAAAAAACCCACTATGAGATATGGCAGTCATTGTAGTCTTTGTGTGTGTGTGTGTGTGTGTGTGTGTGTGTGTGTGTTGGGTTTTTGTTGTTTGTTTTTTTTTTGAAACAAGGTTTCTCTGTATAACAGCTCTAGCTCTCCTGGAACTCACTTTGTAGACCAGGCTGGCTTTGAACTGCCTGCCTCTGCCTCCCAAGGGCTGGGATTAAAAGCATGTGCCACCAATGCCCGGCTAAGTCATTGTGGCTAGACTGTTCTTAAGAGTGGACATCATAAACCTTGTTAAAACCACAAAAGAGTTTAGAAGACATGAAAGAATTGGCAAAATCAGGTGGTAGTATCAAGTCTTCAGGGACGGACTCCCTGATGCCCTTACTTGCAGCATAAACCAGACTATGTCTCATGGGGTAACCTGAGTGTCCCCTCTACAATTTCATGAGTGCAAATAAGCAAATGAATAGGTATCATATACAGCCTTACAGTATAACAGCCAGATGCTCAGTGAGTCTTGAGTGAAGGCCCTGGTTGACTTGCAAGGCTACTTGGCTTCCAGGGTAGAAGGGGCTGAGCGCTCAACACTGCGTGGTCCTTAATCCAGCTCTCTGATGGCAGGGGTAAGATGACCTCCATCTTGCGAAGTCCTCAGGCTCTCCAGCTGACACTAGCCCTGATCAAGCCTGATGCGGTTGCCCACCCACTGGTCCTGGAGGTAAGAATGAGCCCCACACGTCCACTGCCCTGTTTCAGGTGCCACGGGGCTATGTGTGACAACTTAGGCAAGTGCTACTTGCTGAAGCTGAAAAGCCAGATGGATCAGCCTGATTGCTCAGCATAGAAAGCCGTGAGTTTAATCCATGGTGGAAGGAGAGAATGAACTCTTGCAAGTTGTCTGACCTACACAGACCCACATACATATAAACAAGAAAAGATGGTAACCAGGCAGAGACAGACGGATCTCTGTGAGTTCCAGAACAGCCTGATCTACAGAGCGAGTTACAGGACAGCCAGGGCTACACAAAGAAACCCTGTCTTAAAAAAAAAAAAAAAAGAAAAGAGCTAAGAGCCATGGACTCTGACCCTAAGAAGACTGTACTCTTAGAGTTAGGGCATATCTAAAATACAAGAAATAAAATTTTTGCATTATTTTTATATTATTTTACATGAATGCTGTGGATTTGAATTCAAGCCCTCATGCCTACACAGCAAATGCCCTTCCCCACTAAATCATCTTCCTGAATCAATTTTGTTTGTAACAAGGTTTTATTGTGTAGCTTCAGCTGGCCTGAGATTTGCTATATAGTCCAGGCTGGCCTAGAACCTAGAGATCCACCTGCCTCTGCCTCCAGAGGCTAGGATTAAAGATGTATTGCACCATGCCCAGCCCCAATTAAACAAAAGACAAAACTCTAATCTGTGTGTGTAATATATTAGTTTACCTAATATATATTGTCTTTTTAAACTAATTATATTAGTCTTAACTAATATATGTGTATATATATGTGTGTGTGTATATATTAGTTATCAGTTGCTACATTCTGAATTAGATAGCTTAAAACAACTCATTTCAGGCTGGAGCGACGGCTCAGCACTTAAGAGCACTGGCTGTTCTAGAGGACCTGGGTTTTGTTGCAGCACCTATGTGTTGGCTCATACCCATCTGTAACACCAGGTCCAGGGAATAAACACCCTCTTCTGGCTTCCTCAGACACTAGGCATATATACGCTACAGAGAAATACATGCAAGCAAAACACTCATAAGATAATAAAAATACTGTTTTTTGAACAGTACATGTTGTCTCCTGATTCCATAGTTTAGAGGTCAGGAGGTTTTCCTGGGTTATCTGCTGCTTAGCAACTCTTGAGACCAAAGACATGGTATGGACTGCCTACGGCCTCACATAGAATATCTACGGATTTCCCAGCTCCAGGATTGTTAATGCTGTTGGCAGAGTATGGTTCCTGTGTGCTTGCTAGCCTTCAGGCAGGAACCACCCTCGGTTTCTAGAGATAAACCACATTCCTCCCACAAGCAGTGGTGTAGCTAATCCTTTGTGTTTTTCAAAACTCTCTAGCTTTCAGTCACAGGCCAGAGAAAACTGCTTTAAAGGGGCTTTGTGACTTTTTAATTATGTTTGATTGTTATATGTGTGTATGAGAGAGACAGCATGTGTCAGAGGACAACTTAACAGAAGTTGGTTCTTCCAAAAAATAAAAACTGGGTGGTGGTGGTGCACGCCTTTAATCCCAGCACTTGGGAGGCAGAGGCAGGTGGATCTCTGTGAGTTCGAGACCAGCCTGGTCTACAAGAGCTGGTTCCAGGACAGCCTCCAAAGCCACAGGGAAAACGATGTCTCGAAAAAACCAAAAAAACAAAACAAAAAAACATACAAAAAAAAACAGAAGTTGGTTCTTGCCTTCTACCATGTGGATCCTGGGAATTGAACTTGGGTCCTCAGACTTAACAGCAAGTGCCTTTACCCACTGAACCATCTTGCTGGCCCCTTACGTGAATAGTCCCACCAGGTGAACCTTCCTTCTAGCTAAAGCAAAATCAACTGATTAGTAACCTGAATTGTATCTGCAAAATCCGTTTTGTTGCAAACCCAATAGAAAATAAAAATCTGTTTTGTTATGTAATGTGGCTTAATCATATTTTGTCACACTCATAGGCCTGAGGACAGGAGTGGAAAACCTGAGCTGATGATCAGTACCGGGAAATCACTACTACCATTCAAAATGGTAGAGTGAACGAGATTGACAAAAAGGAGAGTATAGAAGTAGACAAGATGAGGGCAGAATGACAAAATATCAGTGAATTCTAATATTTAGGAAATGCTTCTAATAAGAACAAAACAGACAGGCTGGGTGGTAGTGGCACAGGCCTTTAATCCCAGCACTGGGGAAGCCGAGGCAGGTGGATCTCTGAGAGTTCCAGGCCATCCTGGTCTACAGAGTGAGTTCCAGGACAGCCAGCGTTACACAAAGAAACCCTGTCTTGAAAACAAAAAAATAAGCAGTCAGGCTATGGTAGCATGTGCCATTAATCCCAGCACTCAGGCAGCAGATGCAGGAGGATCTCTGTGAGTTTGAGGCCAGCCTGGTCTACAGAGCTACAGAGAAACCCTGTCTTGTTTGAAAAGCAAACAAACAAAAAGGCAGACAAAAAGAAGGGATTGTTTGGGACTCTGCCTGTTCTGTTGTAAGTTAAGAACTCAGTAGGCTCTGTATAGTGTGTAATACAGAGGAAGCAGCAGGCAGTACAGCATTCCAGAATGGCAGCCTGGAGTGGCAGGAAGCAAACATTGATTAATGCCAGAAGGAGATCAGAAGGGAGACACTGAAGCAGGGGTGGCTGCCTAGACGGTGGAACCAGACAGAAGTGGAGGGCAAGGGAAGTGAGGCCCTGAACACTAGGCCCAAGTGCATACACTTTGCCCATAGTAGAAACTACCCAGAACTTTCTGACCAAAACAAGTTGTAGAGTTTTTAATCAAATGTGATGGTTTAGGATGAATGAAAAAAACTGAGGACAAGGCCATTAAAAAGACTTGTATGGTGTTCTGGGTGGTGGGGCCTAGAGACATTACTTCTTGTCCCCATGTCCTCTAGGTTCATACTCTGGCAGTGTAACTGAGGTTTTGACCTCCCCCCACTCACCTTCTGACCCACTGTGTGGCTTTCTGCCACTGGGCCGTACTTAAAAGATTTATTTATTATATATATAGTGTTCTACCTACATATTACCTGCACACCAGAAGAGGGCACCAGATCTCATTATAGATGGTTGTGAGCCACTATGTCATTTCTGGTAATTGAACTCAGGACCTCTGGAAGAGCAGCCATCTCTCCAGCCCCCCTGGGCCATACTTAAGAGAAGAGAAGATTTATTTTCCTCAGAGGTTCACAGGTTTTAGTCCATGGCGCCTGGTCCTGTCTCTTAGAGCCTATGCTGAGGGTGAACACTGGTGAGAAGTGCTCACAGTGTGGGCTGGGATGTGAAGAGTGACCAGGCTGAGGTTTCCATTCCCCTTCAAGAGCACATTCCTGGGCTGGAGAGATGGCCCAGAGGTTAAGAGCACTGACTGTTTTCACAGAGGATCCGGGTTCAATTTCCAGCACCCACATGGCAGCTCACAACTGTTTGTAACTCCAGTTCCAGGAGATCTGAAGCCTTCTTCCGGCCTCTAAAGGCATTGCACTCGGGTGGTGCACATATGTAGATGTAAGCAAAACACCTATACACGTAAAATAAACAATTAAAAAAAAAAAGCGCACTCCTAAAGATACCTCCTTCAGGAAGGCTCACCTTCTGAAATTCCCTGCAAAAGTGCCATCAGCTGCCTAACACATGGGCTTCGGGGATGGAAGGGCACTTAATATCTAGACCATAGCACGCATCCACAGGACATACTTTAAGTGATGCTTTTAGACAGCTGGAATGCTGATTGGTTTTTATCACTGGGGTGGTTTGTTCTCCAGGCTGTTCATCAGCAGATTCTGAGCAACAAGTTTCTCATTGTACGAATGAGAGAACTACAGTGGAAAAAGGAAGACTGCCGCAGGTTTTACCGAGAGCATGAAGGTAAGGCCAGGAGTCCATGTTACAGCCCCGCCCTACGACCAGTCAGTGTGTATGTGCGTGTGTGCATGTATGTGCTTGGGTGTATGTGTGTGCATGTGTGCACACGTGTGAGGTACACATGTGTACATGCAGAGGCAAGAGGACAACCTTAGTGTCAGTCACAAGCACACACGCACACACACACACACGCGCACACACACACACACACACACACACCCCCCAAACACACACACACACACACACACACACACACGCACGCACGCACGCACGCACGCACGCACACACACACACACACACGCGCGCGCGCGCACACACACCCCAAACACACACACACACACACACACACACACACACACACATGCGCGCACACGCACGCGCGCGCGCACACACACACACACGCCGGGCGGTGGTTGTGCACGCCTTTAATCCCAGCACTCGGGAGGTAGAGGCAGGCAGATCTCTATGAGTTTGAGGCAGGCAGATCTCTATGAGTTCGAGGCCAGCCTAGTCTACAGAGTGAGTGCCAGAATAGGCTCCAAAGCTACACAGAGAAACCCTGTCTTGAAAAACAAAAAAAAAAAAAAAAAAGAAAAAAAGAAAAAGAAAAAAAAAAAGGGAAAAAACACACACACAGAAAGATAGTCATTCCCCTCTAATCATAGCAAGCTGATGTTATATCCCAGAGCATGTTGGAAGACACATTAGGGAAGTTAATGACTTAACCAAAACTGTACAGATTGCAAGTGGCAGAATCTAGATGTACACTCAGAAACGTAAGTCTCCAGCATTCTTCTTGTCACTCTCTGTAAACGGTATGGTATTACAGGTGGTGAAAAGTGAGAAACTTCTCTTGGGTACCATGTCCTCATGAAGGAACTCTCTCTTTACAGGGCGTTTTTTCTATCAGCGGCTGGTGGAGTTCATGGCCAGGTACTTTGAATTCTGATCCCAATATCTTTATGTGCTATGGCATATCTCCTCTTCCCGATGAATAGAATTGTCAGCTTCACTTACCACCTTTTAAAGATGTAATCATTGTTAAGTGTAAATAAACCTGACTGAGGCTGAGTGTGTGGCACACATGAGGCAGAGACAGGAAGGTATCTGTGAGTTCCAGGATAGTCTGGACGACAAAGCAAGTTCTAGGACAGCCGGGGCTGTTAGAAAGAGAAATTCTGTCTCAAAAAAAAAGAAAAGAAAAGAAAAGAAAAGAATCATGACTGAGCTACACTGCCGTGTAGGTGTTAGGTGCCTGTCCTCTGGCTACTGAGCCAATGGCTATGGTGGGGTACCGTGGATGCTGCTTAGCAACTCTACTGACCACTTCTTGCATGTCGGTAGTCTGCCTCTCCTGTCACTTTCTCTTGGAAGCAGCACCGGTACTCACGAGGAGGGCAAAGGAACTGTCAGGAAGTACAGTTCACTTTATTCTTGCCGGGTTCAAAACATGTTGTAGATTAGGTGGTCAGATCCCTCTTTTTATTCTCAGTGGGCCAATCCGAGCCTACATCCTTGCCCACAAAGATGCCATCCAGCTTTGGAGGACACTGATGGGACCCACCAGAGTATTTCGAGCACGCCACATGGCCCCAGATTCAATTCGTGGGAGTTTGGGCCTCACTGACACCCGGAACACGACCCATGGCTCAGGTGAGTCTAAACCTCTTGTCCACAGCCACAAATGAGGAAGGATGTCTTAGGGCAGGGGAGTAAGCGTGTGGGGAGATTGACAGTCAGTGGTCCCTACACTGAGCTTTGTTCCATACATTTCTCGCCCTCTATAGCTGTCTCAGCCATGTGACCTGTGAGCTTTCTGTGTAGATCCGAGTGGTGGAGGTTTCTAACCCTGATGCTGAGACTGTCTTGCCTCCTACACTCCACATTCCCTGGATAACTTCTCTCTAATTTGTTCTATTTTATTTTCAGACATGGTCTTGCTTCGTTTCCTAATCTGTTCCCAATCTTGCAACCCCCCCCACACACACACACACACACACATCCCAATCTCCTAAGTAGCTCTTGTCTCCCTTTCCTCTCCTCATAGACTCCGTGGTTTCTGCCAGCAGAGAGATTGCAGCTTTCTTCCCTGACTTCAGTGAGCAGCGCTGGTATGAAGAGGAGGAACCCCAGCTGCGCCGTGGTCCTGTGTGCTACAGTCCAGAAAAAGGCATCCACTGTGTAGCTGCAACAGGAAGCCCCAAACCAGCCTAGTAAAGTCCTGTCAGTCCCCGAGGACAGGTGGCAGTGTCCAGCCTTTTCTCTTAGGGTCAGGGAATCATGGACTGAAGGCACTGTTGTCTCTGTTGGACGGCATCACCTACCCAAAGACCTAGTATATCACTTGTCAGCTGCTGCAGTCTAGCTCTGTCTACCTCTTCTATGGAATATTCATGGTTATTTAGGAAGGGTGGTGATGACTCGTGTGTGTGTGTGTGTGTGTGTGTGTGTGTGTGTGTGTGTGTGTGTGTGTGTGTGTGTGTGCTGAGATAGGGTTTCTCTGTGTAACAGCTCTGGTTATCCCAGAACTCACTTTGTGACCCTCTGGCCTTGAACTCACAGACATCTGCCTGCCTCTGCCTCTGCCTCTCAGGTGCTGGGATTAAAGGTGTGTGCCACCACTGCTCGGCTGGTGACTCCTCCTTTTGCAAATGACTGTCATCTTTCCTCAAGAAGGAGCCTGCTGTTGATTAGCACCGACTATAACCAATATTTGATCTGACTCTTTAATAAATTCTGTGCCACTGAAGCCTCCAGGCTGGCAGCACTCCTGTACAAGCTTTCTCTGTTGTTCATTAGAGTCCTTGCATCTGCCCTGAAGCCAGGTTTCTGGTCTGTGCTAACTGAAGAGAGAATCATGTGAGAATCTCTCAGTGGGGTGATTATGTAGCACATAAATGCGCCCATTCACTGAGTTGAATATGGACTCAAAACCATGCTGTGCACCTAGGCACAGGCCTGAGTCCTGGAGGAAGAGACACTTTTTCTTTGAACCAAGATGCCTATGCCCAGTGGAGGTGTCTTCTGATTTTCACAAAGGCTCTATTGGTAGTTTTGCCTCCACTATACCAGCACGACTGCTAACACATGGCCGATTACAGCAAATGTCAATGGCATAAACAATGGGGATTATTTCTCTGTATCTGCTAGCTGCTCGGTTGCCCCTGTTGCTTTCACCCAGATGCTTGCAGCTGTATTCATCTGGTGAATCAATCGATTATGGTCTTTATTCCAGTTCATGAAGCTTTTGCCTGTGTCTGAGTTACAGGATAAAGATTCTGGGATGTGGTGGCACATGACTTTACTGCCAGCACTCAGAAGATAAAGGCAGGTGGATCTCTAAGTTGGAGACCAGCCTGGTCTATAGAGTAAGTTCCAGGACAGCCAGAACTAGACAGTGTAATCCTGTCTTGAAAAAAATCAAAGCCAACTGGGCGGTGGTGCACTTTAATCCCAGCACTCAGGAAGCAGAGGCAGGAGGATCTCTGAGTTATAGACCAGCCTGGTCTACAAGACCTAGTTCCAGGACAGCCTCCAATGCCACAGAGAAACCCTGCCTGGAAAAGCAAGAAAAAAGAACAAAAAGAAAAATCCAAGCCGTGTGGTGGTGGCACTCCAGCATGTTATTACTTCAGCAGCTACGTGGCTTCTCCTTGACTCTGCTGCTTTCTCTCTGTGGCTTTGTTTGGGTTTGTCACCTATCTATATTCTCCCTGGCTATTGGCCAAATAAGCTTTATTTCTCAACCAATAAGCAACATATACTCGCAGCATACAGAAGGACCTCCCATATCAGGGTGGCATGCAATTTTCAGAGGTTCAGGCCACTGTCACGGTGTGACATGGTGCTGGAGAAGGAATTGAGAGTTCTACATCCGGACCACCAGGCAACAGGAAGTGAACTTTCTCACTGGGCACAGCTTAAGCATATATGAGACCTCAAAGCCTGCCTTCTCTGTGACTCACTTCCTCCAACAAAGTCATACCTACTTCAACAAGGCCACACCTAACAGGGCCACTCTCTTTGGGGGCCATTTAAGGCTTACGATTGCTTTAAAGCAGATGAAACAAGATAAAAGACCAAATCAGATTGGCCAGTTAGAAGCAAACACAAGCAGATGAATCTACACTGAAACAGATGAAGAAACCAGCTTAGAAATCAAATGGAACAAGACTAACTCGAATAAGATGAAAGCAGTTCCAGAATAGACCCCACCAGACACAGGGAACAAATCAAAACTCTTGGGTTCAGAGTTGAACAAGAGGAAGGCAGACTTTTTTTTCTTTTTGGTTTTTGAGACAGGGTTTCTCTGTGTAACAGTCCTAGCTGTCCTGGAACTCACTCTGTAGACCAGGCTGGCCTCAGACTCCCAGAGATCCATCCACCTGTCTCTTCCTCTGAGTGTTGGGATCAAAAACATGGGCCACCACTGCCCAGCTAAGACGGCAGATGTTGAGAGCTTCTGACAGACACTCCAAGGTAAGACCCTCAGTCAAGAACTCAGCTATCACTTGGCAGCCCCCAACTGTAACTCCAGTTCCAGAGGATCTGGCACCCTCACACAGACATGCGTGCAGGCAGAACACCAATGCACATAAAAATTTTTAAAAACTTTTAAAAAAGAACTCAGCTATCTGTAACCTTGCATTCCCTCATGGGCAATGAGGTTTGGTTGGTAATGCATCATAGGTGATGGTTGTGTCAGATTTTTGGTTGCATTTTTCTGTTGGAATGAGTTTGTCTTGACTTTTTTTTTTAAGATTTTATTTATTTATTATGCATACAACATTCTGCTTCCATGTATATCTGCACACCAGAAGAGGGCACCAGATCTCATTATGGATGGTTGTGAGCCACCATGTGGTTGCTGGGAATTGAACTCAGGACCTCTGGAAGAGCAGTCAGTGCTCTTAACCTCTGAGCCATCTCTCCAGCTCCCTTTTTTTTGTTGTTTTGTTTTTTTGTTTTGTTTTTTGTTTTTTGAGACAGGGTTTCTCTCTGTAGCTTTGGAGCCTATCCAGGCACTCGCTCTGGAGACCAGGCTGGCCTCGAACTCACAGAGATCCGCCTGCCTCTGCCTCCCAAGTGCTGGGATTAAAGGCATGTGCCACCAATGCCCAGACTTCTTTCTGAACCTGCTGGGATATTGTCTTCTCTGATTCTTCCTAGAAGAATATCTGTATGAAATTCAGCTCCAGGAATGGGTGATGCCTGGTATTGAGAAGCGGAAGACTTTCTGAAGCGGTTCCATTGTGGCTGTGTGCCAACAGGACCAAGGGTGGGGATGGACACTTTGTACCAAGGTGATTAGAAGGAGTCCAAACCTTGGTAACCCCTGGATTCTATGAGCCTTCTGGAGACAGGATACTAGGCTTTAGACCCAGGGAAGCCTGTCTACTATCTGGAGCCTGTGGTTAGAGCCATAAACCTAAAGTAAGCTCTGAGACCACTCTGGTCTTATAGTGACCCAGCCCCTCAATGCCCTTAGAGACCTCTGGAGTCAAAGCTGCTGTTCCTCAGAGGAGCCTCAGCATACTACTGTTGCAGAAGCTTGGGCCCTGCACTGACCCCTGAGGCCACTGCCCTGCAGTCCTGATGGCAAGGTGCTGTCTGGTGATGCAGGAACCAGAGGCCTGGTATCCCTGTCATGTGTCCCCTCACCACCAACACCATGTTCTCTGGTCCCACAGAGCTAACTCCCAAAGTTGTCCACTCTTCTTCACACATGTGCTGTAGTATGCAGGTATGTTGTAGGCATGTGCACGCGTGCGCGCGCGCACGCGCGCGCGCGCGCGCGCGCGCACACACACACACACACACACACACACACACACACACACTCATACACATACACAAAAAAAAATGAAAATGTTTAAAAAAGAAAATATGAGGGGTTGGGACCGAAGAGATGGCTCAGAGTTTAGGAGCCTGGCTGCCCTTCCAGAGGGCCTAGGTTCGATTCCCAGCACCTACATGGCAGCTTACAACCACCTGTGATCTGATGCCTTATTCCGACATGTAGTGCTCAGATATATAAGCAGGCAAAACTGACAGGGTTTCTCTGTAGCTTTGGAACCAATCCTGGAACTTGCTCTGTAGACCAGGCTAGTCTCGAACTCACAGAGATCTGCCTGCCTCTGCCTCCCAAGCGCTGGGATTAAAGGTGTGCACCACCACTGCCTGTCAGATAAATTTTAATTTAAAAAGTTTAAAATACATTGATTGAGTTGGTCATGGTGGCACCTTTAATCCCAGCACTTGGGAGGCAGAGGCAGGAAGCCAGCCTGGTCTTCATAGTGAGTTTCAGGACATCCAGAGCTACAGAGGTACCCTGTCTTGGAAAACAAAACAAAAAAAAACACTTGCTAGCCGGGCATTGGTGGCACACACCTTTAATCCCAGCACTCCAGAGGCA